ACTGCCAGAAGCCTTCCGATTGCTAGCCGCAGCTCCCTCCCACCCACATGCACCCACACCCGCCCACCTGTCTGTGGCTCCCTGGACGGCAGAGCGGACAGCTGCAGCCAGGTAAGACATCCCCCGAAAATAAGACCTAGTGTCTTTTTTCGTAGGAAAAAAAATATAAGACAGTGTCTTATTTTCGGGGAAACACAGTATTTATTTAATACAGCATAATTAGCTATACCTATTTCAAGCAATGGGGTTGATTTACTAAAGGCAAATAAGCAGTTTACTTTGCAAAGAATATCCAATCACATGCAAGGAGTATTTTGCTCGCAAGTAATTGGATGATGGAAATCAGCAGAGCTTCACCTCATTTACCAACATAAGTGAAAAGTCACTTGCAAAATGCAAATTCTGTTGTAAAGTGAACAGTGAATTTTCTTTTAGTAAATCAACCCCAATGAGTATGTTCTAATGAGTTCACGTAGGTTTAACATGCTTCACCATATTAAAAAAAAAAAAAACCCACATACTTTTGGCTACCCCTTGGTTGCTTTTTATGAAGAAACATTGATGATGTGCAACATGGCCCAATCAACAAAAAAAATTAGATTTTTTTTTTTTTACAAGATATGTTAAAGAAACGTGAGGTTCATAATACTTGAAACATGTTCATGTTCACATGTTTAGTATAAATTTACTCAACATCACCCCATGTTTTATATTTTACCAAATAATTGGGTAATAATAAATGTTTAATTGCATAGTGTAGGTAAAAACCAACATTCAAAATGTAAAATTTCAAAATTGTTGCTACTTTTTTCTTATGTAGTAAAAAATAAAAAAAAAGTGTTGATTAAATACCACCAAAAGAATGTTCTATCTTTCAAAAAAAATTGATAAAATTAATTTAGGTACAGCGTTGCACACTGAAAAATTATCTGGAGAGGAAGGGAGTTTAACACTCCAGTGTTTAAGTGGTTTAACTATCAAGCTGCACAGGCATCTTATTGGTGTTGTTGGAGTAAAGGTAGTCATAACAGAGCATGTTCCAAAGTAACCTTCCTACAAAACACACACCATTGTGTTCAGCACTCAAGATAGCACACAAATATCCTGCTCTAGTTTTCAAGCATTTTGAACATGTCTGATCATATATAGGAACAATAATAGAAAACAAACAAAAACATAAGGTTGAATAGCTAAAAATATATCTAAAGCCATGAACTTTTTTTTGTTTTGGATAGAGTAGGCAATAGTTAAATAGTTTTTGTGCCATGCGGGCATCGGTGGGGAGAATTATCTTCACTATTTCATAGACACAACAGGAAGTAATCAGAAATCTTTTTAAAACAAGGAAGATCCCTTTTAGACAGTTGTCACCAGGACAAGTGTCCCCAATAGAAAATGTTTCCCTCTATTTTTGTACAAGTGACAACTCAGTATTTCGCATATCCCCTTACTTTTAGATCTGGTTATAATAGTCAGCAAAAGTGGGAATACAGTCAGCAGTAAAACATTACAAAGGTTCTAACTTATCCTTATCCTAAAGATGATACTGGAAGGAATGGAGTTCTTATTTCATACAATAAAAATAATTATCGATAACTGAATTTTATATGAAACCTGTTCAACTGGATAACGTATGGGGCTTTAATTAGCTTCTGGGTAATGTTATGTTTACTAATAAGTACAGTGATAAAGGGGAATGATTAAGTCTCAGTGTGATATGGCCAAATGACTAAGCTTTAGCAGTTTGAATCTACGACAGCTTCATTTTTCTTTGTCCTTTCACATGAAATCACCTGTCTGCAATTTCTGATTTAACTGTGTGCCCCATGGAGGTCACTTTCGCTTCACTGCCAAACAGCATTCAACCTTTAAAATATCTGAATGTCTTCTCCATGGCATGTGAAACAGTACATTTTACCATAAACCAATAATTTTTCAGATGGATAGTGACAGTGCAATATAATCCCAGTATTTTATGTGTGCGTTTTAATGAAATGATCTGTGAATGTAAAGATTAGTTATGCATATGAATTAATGGTAAACATTCCTCTCATATAAAAAAAAAGTGTCAATAACTTATATTAATAGCTAAATATATAAAATGTTAAATACCTTCCTCTACAAAAATATAATTAGGCCTATCTGTCTCATTAGGTCTGTCTATCTACTGGCCTAAAAAGTCTAGTTTCAGCTCAGTAAAAGGTTATTACAAGTCACAATGCACATCACTTTTATACTCAAATTCAAAGTGAATGTTAGCCAAAAATCTATGGGGTCTTTTCACAAAGCTGCCAAAGGATCTAGCCATAGCTTCGGCCCCAGGACCCCTTTCAGTTCGGTAGAACCGAAGGGCTGCAGTACGGGCTATTCCCTACAGCCCGTACAGCTCCCTAAGTTGGCCGAGCGGCTCAGTCGAGCCGAAGGCATATGCCTTAGCATGACTGAGCCGCGCTGAAAGCCGAAACTGGCCGACAGCCTGCTTCTGACAGCTGGGCGGAGGCAGCCGTCATCTCACGGCTGCCTCCGGCCACTTGCAGACAGATCAGCGTTTTGGTTACCAGCTAACCAGGGACGCTGTCATTACACACTGAGAGCGGCCTCTCCGTGTTCTTAGTGTGTAATGACAGATGTCGCTTCTGGTTACCTGGTAAACAGGAACGCATCTGTCATTCCACCCCTGGACACTCTGGGAGTCTAATAGGCTCCCAGCCGCCCGTGAGAGAAACATTTTCTCACAGAAAGGTTCACTTCTGCTGTCAGAAGCAAAAAAAAATCCCCATAGGAAAGCATAGCTAGATTCCTATTGGCTATTTCAATTTGCAATAGCAAACTAGCTATTGCACCCGCACTCTGCTGCTGTCAATCAGCAGAGGGGGACCTGCAGTTCTCCATCAGGTCCCCGTCTGGTGATTGACAGCAGCAGAGGGTGGGTGCAATAGCTAGTTTGCTATTGGCTATTGCAAAGTGAAATAGCCAATAGGAATCTAGCTATGCTTTCCTATGGGGATTTTTTTTTTTTGACGGCAGCAGAACCGCCCGGCCAGTAGAAAGAGCTGGGCGGAGCTAGCTGTCACTGCTAGCTCCGCACAATCGTTTTCTATTTTTTTTCTATTTTTTTAACTATTTTTCTGTTCTGCTCGGGCTCACAGAGGGACTGAGCAGAACAGCCGAGCCGAATGCACTGCTGTGCGGCATCTATAAGAATAGACCGAACAGCAGCGAGTAGCCTGCCGGAGGTTCGGCTTAGCCGATCCAGATGTTGGATCGGCTGAGTCGAACTCCTTCTGCACTTTGAG